GCAGCACCATTTCTGCAGTGAACGTGACGTTGTATAAAACGGACGGTGGGGTAACTAGTGGCGGAATATACGTCGAGGCTTGTACACCTTGGAAGATTGGGGAGTACTGGGCTCGTAATGCGTTGGCCGCCTCTTTCGCAGTATGTGTATACCCATTGGTCGTATTAAGTGGTGGGATTCCCCGTTGCACCTTGCGAAGTCCATTCACATGTTTGTAAAGAAGCTTTTTGTTCGAACAGAATCGTTTGGCTAGCTCCTGCTGATGCGTTCTCTTGTCTTCGCGAACCAAAAGCACACAGTAGTTGCGATGCGAAACGTATTCCGTCCAGTTTTCTGCGCTGGGGTTGCTTTTATACGTGCGCCATGCCCGATCCCTTAGAGTCATGCATTTTCGCGTCCGGCTTCGCAAGAATAATTTCGCTGTGCGGGGATGTTGGGAAACTTTTGGTGTTGAGGCTTCTATGACTAGTGACGTGATGGTGTTCGCAAATGTCTCCCAGGCTAGTTCTGGGGTGCAGTTAGCTAGAAACGTCCAACTGGTATTCTCAACTAGAGCAAACAGAACGTGGTAATGGGTAACAGATTGCCTCGTTTCGAGCTCCGCAGCTGGATATTCGGCGTAGCAGAGGTAATCGAACTGCAAAGTCACGTGATCGCTAAGGGCCCAAAGGACTGCACACCTTTAGTCCATCGACCATGAGCTCTTCGTTAGTGAGCACTAGATCTAATTTGATGGGTTGTTTCCTGTTCTGAACCTGGTTGGAACGGTGACGTGGTTATATAAGAAGGTGCTAGAGAGTAGCTCTTGCAAATATGCCTTGAACACTTCTGTCTCGGATGCTGGATTTTCCAAGTCATGGGTGTTGAAATCTCCTGCAACGAGGATGTGGCTGTACTTCTGATTAAGCACGGAAAAAAAAGCGGAGATAAGTCTGTTGTCCCTTTCCGGAGTGGATTTCGGTGGTCGGTAAACCACAGAGAGAAGGCATACGTCGTTGCGTTCCAACCACAGTTTGCACCAAAGGACGTCGGTGACACAAGTCTGGGGATCGTCTATGAGCTCACAACGAAGGTTCGTTCTGAAATAAATGAGCACGCCACCGCCCCTGCCCGTTCTGTCGTTCCGGAGAAGTGACATACCCGGTATGGCAATCTCAGCGTCTGTGATTTCGCCGCTCAGCCAGGTTTCGGCGATCATTATGATGTCTCGAGGCTCCGAAGCCAAACGGTGACGGAGTTCTACCAACTTACTTATGAGGCCTTGTGAATTAGTATACATGCAGGATAGTGCTTTTGTAACCAAGAGTGAGCTAGCACAGGTTGTGGTAGGAATGGAGTTTGCGTCGACCGTAACGGGTCGGCCATTAACCGTGTTTTTGTGGTGACGTTTGCCTTTGAGTTTGCTTTCGGTTAGACGACTGATCGCGGCCTTCCGGGCCCTGCTGGTCCCCCGTGTTCAGCCGTGTTTCGTGGGATATTGTGGTCGTCGATAAATCCATGCCTTCACAAAGTTGCATGAGTGGATGGTTCAACAATTTGATCGCTCCCCGTGAGTCGTTGGTAATCCGTGGCAGCGAACCTGATGCCTTTAACCGAATTTCCACTGGCAGCTTCATGCGGAATTTGGACCAGTTTTCCAAGGCGAGCGGTAACATAAACTCAGATTGAAGCACCACCTTCATAAGTCTGGGACCGTTCCCTTTGTAGTTGGGTGAAAATGGAATCCTGGTCAACCGCTTAGCGATGATATTATTGAGGGAGATTTCGTGGCGGATGTAACTCCATTGCTCCCGGTCATGTGCATCCGCTGCACCAGAGGTTGAGTTTTGGAGCTCAGGAACCCCGTACACAATTATCGTCCGTTTCGCCTCGGCTTTACGAACTTCTTCACGGTTGCTCATCTTTTTCAGACGTTCGTTCCAGGGGATATCAGGAAGTATGCGCGCCTCGAGTGATGAATGACGAAGCCTGTTGGACGATAGTAGAACTGCCTCTGTGTCCTTGGTGGAGTTTAGTGTCACCCGGAGAAGTCGGGGTTCACCGTAGTGCGCTGAATTTGGATGACGTGTGACTCGTCTCAGCATTGCAGGTTCAACCGAAATGCCAATCGCAGTACATATAGACTTCCACTGATTACGATCATCTAACAGCTTCCCCTTTATTGTACTCGCCTGTGATTCAGGAACATTTGTACACACAACGGTTAACGCGCCTTGGCTCCTTGCGTTGGATGCAGATTTGCCATGACTTACAGACACGGTGTTAAACGGATTGTTTGGTTGTTGGAGTCTGGTCAACTTACTGTTGCTTGGTGAGGCCACCGGAGTCGGAGGTAATTTAACCGGTGTATGCATGGAGGCGACTGAGGCGTACGACGCCCGACTTTTCTCTACGGCGGAAGAGGTTTGCCCCAGGGCTTCCGCGGTTGCTGTTGAATGGAGGTGGGGCGTGTGACTCAAAGGTGTGGACATCAGTACTCTGGATGTTCGTCCGCTTTTGGGAGTTGAGTGAGGCAGGGGATTTGGAGAAACTGAGGCTGCAGCGCGGCTTGAAAGTTTAGCCCTTTTTTCGGCCTCGAGGTGGAGCTTTCTTTGACCGACTGTGGTACAATCATGGCCATATTCGCGGCCGGTGGTGCAAGCCTGGCGTTCAACAAATAAGCGATTGTCGCATTCAAAGTATTGCACCTTTCCATGAGTGCACATAAACAACCGACCACTGGAGTTAACTGGCAAGTTGGACAAAACCAAAAATCGTCACCTGCCTTGTTTATTTGCCTTGCTTCTTGGGCGGACTTTCCTATACAGCTCGGGTGGAACGAGCCAATGAAGTTTCGGCACGTTATACCCATTTTAAGGGCTTTGCCGCAATTAGCTGAAGAGCAGATACGTCGTTGCATGATATTCGGCATAATTGTTGTATTTTTTCAAGCACAAATTCCAAAATGACGGACACAGCAGTAAATCACTGAGATCTCCGAAGATATCAAGCGGAATTCCACGAAACTTTCACGGATTGATGAACACACGAAACTAAAAAGTTTGGAGCACAACTAACACAGCAACACACGTAAAATACAGTAATTCCAGAGAAAAAGCAGGATCCAGCGCGTGGTAGCAGAAAATTCCGCGGCGTCCGTGGGTACAGCTCAACGGCATGATGCCACATTTGCTAAATCGGGATAAATATTTCCTTTGCTCAGTCACTTTCCCATAACTTCTTCAGAAGAGTAGGGGAAATAGCTCTTTGGGTAAGGCTGTACCTAAGTTCTACCTGACAAGATTTCCTTCCCACTCTGTCCATAGACACGCATATCAAGAGGTTGGAGCAAGTGGGTTGAATTTGATGCAAGTTGCATACTTAGAATTCCATTTTGAATTGCTGCTCTTATGACGTAAATATTCGTATGTGGAGCACGCCCATCAACAATTAACGGAACAGGCCTACCTTCCGGTATAAAAACGGGGTGAAATGGTTTATAAACCAGTCACTAAAACAAGCACAGTCCATCTAACTTTTTTCAGATACATTGTATCCAACATTGTCAGGTCGATTTTGAGTCCAAGAAAAAACTTAGAATTTTGGCCCCCTAAATGAGATATGGGGGAAGCATTGTCATATCAGCCTGAGCACATCCTTACACTGTGGTGGAATCTCTCACTGAGCCACCAATGACCCCAAAAAAGGTTTTCAATCCTCTTTTCACAAATCACTTTCAATCGCTTAGAGTGGAAAGCCACTCTCATCAACCTTGTAAACTCTTCCAGACCTATTCATAATGCCATTGATAGGAAGGGTTCCAGTAACCAGCTGAAACCACTCTTCAGATGTCTGTTTATTTGCAGCCAATTGGACTTTTGATTTTTTTAGCTGCTTTGGAGTTCTGCATGTCAGATGAGGAGGTAACTTTAAATAACTGTATAACCAATCTCGACCACAAACATGGTTCTTAAAAGGAAAACTCCTAGCTTGACCAACAGAAGTACTAAAATCACCCACAACTTCCATCGTTTCTGTGCATGTGAATCCCAACCCCCACTTGGCAACAAAAACAGCTGGAAAGTTCTTCTTCTGCTACAGTGAGAACTATATTTTTACCAGCTCCCATTTACTGTATTTTCCTTTTACGTGGTCTCGAATTGTCGTCTTTTTCAAGTCGAACAACTTGCTAGCACTCAACGTACTCCATGATACCTTTGATAACTTGAGCAACGGGTTGCACCATTGCAGTTGTGCCATATGCTACCTTTTTACGTTCGTAGTTTCGAATTATTCTGAACCTCGAAAAGAAATCTATATTAGACACCTCACATCCAAAACGCTCAGAAATAAACATGGATTAAATGCGCACCCACACGCTTTTAATTTGGGGTGCGTAATTCCCCTAATATGTTAGTAATTTGTCACTCTTGAACGTAAAATCAGTTCGTGAGACAAATAACTTAAGCGCGAAAAATAATTAACACCAAAACCATATTAATCTATATTGCTCGGCTTCTGGCAATATAATGAGTTTTAAGAAAATTATGGGCTTTTAAAAGTGCAACATTTCTACTTACATGTAGATGACTGCATTGCTCGTGTCTACTATATCCCTAGCTGAACACTTGTACAGGGTGCTGATCGTATGTAAACGGGAAGTTGGCAAAATGGTTACACTAAAATAGGATGGTTCCTGCATTGACCAAAAGTACCTTCCATTTGCGAAAAAGTTATGTAACCAGAAAAGGTGTGGAATTACCCCAACTTACTATATATATATATATATATATATATATATATATATATATATATATATCTCAGACACATCTGGTTATTTAGATTGCGTAGAAGTAACCGCAGGTAATTGTGATAATATGATAAGAGAGCACAAAACGAGACAGAGTAACCCGAATGGTTAGTATGAAACTCTTATTATAATCGATCACATTTGAGTCGAAAGTAGACGGGAAGGTCACTGATATGAGTGAAATGATGCAAGCGAAAACGTAAAAGGATACTGTGTCTTGATGACTGAGATGCCAGCATTCACAATCAACTGAAAAGGCGAATGGGCCGGATAAGAATAAAAATCCAAGAGGACTTCATGAGCACGTTTAGCAATCCACTTCTCCGTGAGGTCACTCGCTTCCTGATAAAGATAACAGAGATAGAGGGAAGAGGAATGGCTTGTCGCAGTTAACAACTAATCAAATACATGCTCGGTATTCCGGCGGCAAGGTTCAACTGCGATCGTAATATAATCAACCAAAATAGCACTCAGTTCTTTTGAGTTCAGGTTGAGGTAGCATTGGGAGTGTAGTGATGGTATGAAGCCAAGACTAAGTCGCATGATATGGGAAAGTGGAGAGTAGTAAACCTAACCTTTACGCAGAAGAAATAAAACGTAAATTAGTGTTACCGTGGTTCTATTATTCTAGGTACAGACAACTTACGAATAGGTCTGCAATATTAAATAAAAAGGTCAGACACTGGAAGACGCGCGGCAGCGTGAAGAAACATTATAGCGGAGTTCGCTAATCGGCAGTGTGTCAAAGATGAAATGCTCTGAGCTTGAAAAGTCAACAATATGCTAAGGTTGCGAAATAAAAACGTGAACTGTCTAGTAATGTAGATGTTTGAAGCGCAAACGTGTAACATTTTGTCTTCCCGGCCTATGGTGGAAGGATTTGGGAATGCGGATACTGCGTCCTTAAATAGACAATCTAATTTGGGGGAGAAATCAAAATTCTACTTAGAACTTACAGGGAGTATGGATGAATCCCCATTGCGCGCGTAAATAAGTCAAAACTGTTTAGAAGGTGGAAGAGACCAGATTTTCACACGCTAAGTTTTAAAAGTAACAATTGTTGAACTTTCCCAGATAGAATGATTAGGACTGGTTCGAACAAGTAAGTTGCACCGCTTTTGGCCGTTAATCGCAAGCATCATGAGCAACATTAGCCGGGGGTTGATGTCGGCCTTGATCAATTGCTCAGACGAGATAGGCCAACGAACTGGTTGTAAGGTGCGTTGCCGTTCTCGGTGTCCGTGTCATTTCGGAATGAAGTTCGTATGGATGTGATGGACAGTAGCGATGAACATGCACGTCACTTTCAGTTAGTTGTGAAACCGACAGCGGGCTTAAGAAAGCGACATTGCCTAATAACCGTTGTGCGTAGTATATACATAACATTACGCTTCTAAGTAACTGAGATGGTAATGTAATCCCAGCAAGCAACGCCTCAATTGCAAATGACTGAGTAACCCCCAGAATGTTCACTTGATTGGTCTTCACACAATCAGTGAACAAAGATAGCAGGCTTTCAGCTATCAATGATGCGGATAACTCCCTACTGATGGCCAGTGGGTGATCATCGACATCTTACCGGTTAAACGAAAGTGTGAGAGGAAATATAAACAATTGTTACGGAACCAAACGGAAGAGTCACCGGTTGGTCAATCATTCAACGATCGCTCGCAATAGTAACCGGACAGGGAGGATGCCAAACATCCAGATTTTGTGAAATGACCATTATATCAACGGAGTACAAAATGTAGGAGTCCAACAGTTATTAGAAGATAAATCAAAGGATAAGAAAAATTAAGTTGACCGATAACTCAGGTATTTTGAGTGTGATGGTGCATTACTAACAAATTCTACGGAAAAGCACACAGCAGTGGCTGGAATTCCGTCTCTTTGAGCGCCAAGTGAAGGCGAAAAGGCCCAGCAATAAGAAACGCCGATGACTGCTCAGAAATCTGTGGCACAGAATAAATTGCTACTCCACACATACACACACCCAGAGGCGACTTCCGAATGAGTAAATGGATGAAGACACACACATTTGTCATGAAACAAAGTCCTGTGAATATTTAATGCGAGCAACAATAAATGGGAACACCTTAGACTCTGGGCCAAAATTGAGCATACGTGGTTGAAATCGATTATAAGCCAAGGTATTTAAATAAGCTGAATGAAAGTAAATGTTATACGATAGCACGATAAAATGAAACAATCCACAGAAGTGTACTGGGGACTATGCGATGGAATGGGAATAAGTAAGATATTGTTAGATCTCTGGTGATAAAGTGGGCAAAACAGCATAAATGTTGAACGATTCGAAGGCTACAGACAAACACAGCTTCATATATCTGACGAACACATTGGCCGTTGCCTTGAGATTTTAGGGAATGCATAAAAAGGCACCGAATTGATCTCAGCTCGAAAATGACGGTACATTGTGCGGAGATACTGCGTCAGTGATACGGTGAAAAGCTTGTCTGGAAAGCAAAGATTAGTGGGGGACCCCATAATCACAGAGATAAATATCCCAGAAGGATAACGTCAACGAAACTGATCGACTTTGAGCAGTGATAAAGCGGTAACCGATGAACCGAAATGGTATATGGACAGAGCCATATCAACTGAAATATGACAAGCCACTGATGCTCTAAGGCAAATCAATGTGAAGCTATTAGTCATCGGTTAAATATCAGCGCACAACGTGAAATGCATGATAACATCAATAGTGCGTTGATAACAGATGGGTAAAAGTAACAGAATGATATATGCGAGAGGACCAACCGCTTTGGCTTCAAGCTCCTCTGGAGTTCTCATGGCCAGGAGAATCATCGCTTGACCAAGTTTTGTGGCCCTGTAATCATCAGATTTCTTTACCGAACTCATGTGTTTCCTCGCGTGTCTGAAGAGAGAATAAAACAAACACTCTCAAAATAAATAGAACCAATAGCAAAAATGGTGCACATAAGTGACATTCATCCAGAATAGGACACCAAAGAGGAAGAGGCTCAACGTCTACATCGAAAAGGGTAGTACTGGTCAAATCCACTGCTAAAATGCCAGAAAAAAACAATCAAGGAGGAGACCGGTTAAGTTATGGCTTGAATGAATAATAGGCAGTGGTCTTCAGCAAAGCACTTCAGTAGCAAAAATAAAGACCAGGAATGAGTGCTGGGTTAGGAATTCTTTCCCTGTAATCTCGCATCAGACCTAAACGTTAAGACAACAGAAATTATCTATTATGAGCGTAAAATCGAGCTGGAAAACTGAATTCTAAGTTGTTTGAACAAAGAAATCGGAAACTTAAGGCTAGGCTCTAGTTAGTAGGCAAAGCGGACAGAGGAAAGTAGTATATTACACAGCAAACCAAGGTAATTAGTTCAGGTAACAAGAAAACGGCTAGGTAACAGCGTCTGATATTCAAGCTTGTAATATCGGACGCATGCAAAGTTTTTGCATACATAATTGAGGCATCAGACGTCGGAAAGGAGCTGATTGCTGAAGCGTTGCGAAAATCGTTAAAGCAAAAGTATTTGGCTTTGAAGTCATTCTTAGAGGCGGTATGATCAGGATTATAGTTGTGCCAGAACAGAGATGTTTGAGGAGCACATTTCGCCTCTGTAGAAAAATTCCGCGATGTATTCGCGAATCCTATGACATAGGCACCTCAAGGATGGAAATACGGCGATGTGGACTCCATCCTAACGAAAAAACATTGATGAGACATACTTAATTATGTAGATGTGAGAGCTAGAGTGACTTATTTCGCAAAAGTTGCCCGCAGTGTTAGGTTTCCCTGCAGAACTGAGAAGGCCTTTGGATGAATAGGAGAAGCTCGCTAAGCTAAAAACGGGTGTAAGTAAACAAAGGAAATTATTTATATCGCTGAATAAATAGGTTCCACATTTCACCTTTGCAAAAATACAGGAACGGTATGTGTGCAACCACCCCATTGTGGTGTTAAGTCCGACAAAGATGAATGAATTGTCGTTAAGCTCTAGGTTTTGCCTTCCAAGTAAGAAAACAGATCAAGTGGCTTTAGAAGTGTAATTTGAAAGACAAATGACGCAAAACTTGAGACCTGTTTCCAACTTCATCAAGTGAATATGAGGAGCTAAAGTCTAGTCTAGTGAATGTCGGCGCCACTGCAGGCTTCATACGGTATGGTTTCATACTGAAAACAGCCCATTTTGCAATAGGTGCATTATCTTTAGTGGCGCGTTAATAGGTTGTTGATTTTCAGAGAAATATACCGGGAAGTAAGGCGAACGTTTACCTCAACTGGAAAATGCGAAGTAGTTTCAGTCCGTAGGTAGGTAGGACTTCCAGGACTCTACATATACAGCCTCAACCTTATCAGTGTAAATCGTGGATCACTGGAGCAGTACTTCCGTTGGTCTAAATGACACTGGATATCCTGCTGCAGTGCTATCCGTCATAATTTCATCAGACAAGGAATGTCATAAATGTCGAAGTACATGTACCCGCTGTCAGTGAGCACATGGGGACCAAGCGGACAGTAATGTGCGGGTTAAAAGGAAGCTCGCAAGTGACCTTGAATGCAGAGTGCTGAGGCGCGGTCGCAGACTGTTCCAAGCTATCCACATCACTGGTACGGGGGTGGGTAAATGAATGAGACAATTATGATCAGCATGGTCGGCGGCATCCGGTTTCGGATTTGCCTGTCACTGTGGCCAGCCACAGGACGCCTGCGCCTACAGAGGGACCATGGGTGACTTGCGCTGCACCACTCACAGACCCCATATGCAGTGTATACCCGAAGGCATGTGGATGGGAGCCACGTTTCATCAACGGAGCCGGCCCACACTCCTTCACAGACAAACACAAGCACCCTGTATTTGGGAATCAATCGCACACAAGGCGGTGGCTGGACGGTAGTCTGCTCCACACTGAATGCATGGAACCACTCTTCGAACCTAGCACGGCCACAAGGACCGTGCACTCCGTCCCCTCCAGCAATGACCAACTGTCTCCTGGAGCCAGTATGGACGAGGTAGTGGGTAATAGACAGGTAGGCATCTTGTCTACATGCACATCAAGCGCAGTCACACGAGCAACATAGGTGCCTAATACACCATCCGTCCCGCTGGACAAAGCGTCTTCGGGCACAGAGCAGCTTATCTCATGACCCAGGTGGAGTAGAGCCATAATTTTTAGAAACACCATCTGTGTTCACTTCCGCGCTGCAGGCTCAGACATCCTCTATCCACAAAGGATTGGAACGAATGAATCACTGTGACAAGAATCAATACGGACAGCAGCCTCTGTCGTGAAAACCACCGGAGTAACAACCTAATGCCGTTAGTGATAAAAGTACTGGCAAAATACTAAGAACGGTATGGATATCTTGGATAAAGAAACAGCAAGCAGGTTCAAGTAAAGGATAGAGTTGTCGAGACTATAGTGTCAATCTGAGGCAGGTATCAGAGAGGCGTACTGCAGACCGACTACCGCAGTTTCTCAATGCCAAGAGTACATTTGATTTAGTAGGCCTTTTCATCCTCTAGGATGCACCTACTTGTAGAGGTAGTCGCGAGAAATATTTGTGAAGCTTACTTGCGCTGCACTCCAACCTCACACGTTACGTCACACCAACGGTGAGTTGTCCGACAACTTTCCGGAAAAACGGGTTTTCCCAATAGTTTCTCATCGATCGGCTTTAAAGAGAACCTCATCATAGTGCACTCTTTGTAAAATCTTACGATGAAGATCCTGAGTTGGAAATAAATGATGCTATCGATGACTGCAGACAATTTTAAAGGGATAACAACCGCCTCTGCACGTTGTCAGCAGAAGTCCGCCTCTAGATCAACCCAGTAAAATCGGTATTCATGAAGCCACAAAGAGGGTGATGGCAGCCGAACATGCACCCTCGACGGCCAACCGCTACAACATCCTACACATTCTACGAAGGAATTAGGCGCATCCTAACGCTGAAATTGGAAATCCGTAGACAACAAAAACGGGCTACTTGGAAACGGACTGTGCTTTGGGTGCTCGAAAGCAGCTTCATCCTGTCTGAAGAGGCTGTTACTCACCTCCTTTGGTGATAAACAATTCTCCGTATCGTGAATTTTAAAGTGGTTTCCAATGGGTTTCTTACACTTCAGACATGACCGGTGATACCATTGCTGACTACGTGTAGCCTTTATTAAAGTGTCCCGTCCTATGAAGAATCGTGACGAGCTTTGCCGCGCCACTAATTCTAAGTATCTAGACGTATTTGGACTCGTAGAAACGTGGTTGGACTATGGGATAAACGCACAGGAAGTCGAACTTAGTGGCTACTCATGCTTTCGCTGTGACAGTCTATTGAACGCATGCGGTGAGGTCTGCATATAGATCCGGTTTTCAGTGCCTAAGACTTGTGAACATCTACCGAAACAACAATGGCTTGCGTAAGCAGATGTGATGCTCGGTCCCCGTCGGGCACAGAACTGCTCGTGGGTGAAGTCGATTGTAGTCCTCTGAGCCGACGACTAAACTGAATGTCTGATCTCCGAAACCACATGAATCAACTCGATTTCCTGCACATGAGTGATCTCGATTTTCCTGGAATACGCAAACCTGAAGTTCAACTCATCACCAGACATGCGGTCGAGGGAAATGTTACAGGAAACTGGAGCCGCGCAACACATATGTCAGCCAACACGTATAATATCGAGATCACGACCATATTTTGTAGCGTAATAAAACTTTACATTATAATTTTCTTGTTGCCTAGTAGCTTACTGGAACGATGCCCATCCGTTGCTGGTAGCTTAGCTGGCATACAACTGTTGTATTTACCTTTTCTTTTATGTACTGCAGTACAGTAGCTGAGGTGTTTCCCATCTCTAACTAACGTGTATAATGATGATGAATGATGAGATCAACTGCGTCTGGAGTTGGAGTTAACGAGCTACAAACTAGTGCATGTCACTAGGGTCCTGGATACCATGGCAACAAGCGACCTCTCAGCACTGATGATCAACATGGGAATGCCTGGGTTGAATTCCTTTCTGTGGCAGCCAGCTTACAACTAACTGATTTCGATGGTCAAACTCGAGCCATGAATTAAATGGATTGGGCTATGCTTCAATCCGTATCAAGATTGTATCAAAGATTGTTAGAGAGCCAATAAAGGAGAGAAAATGTTATGTTCCCGGTAAGTATCCATCAAATGCCGCAACGTCAGGCCAGTCAAGCAAAACAGGTTTGTATGATCCCAAGATGCAAGTGGAGTTGTTTATTGTGAGAAAGATCGTGGACAATATGCATCAATGCTGATCACCAATTTTGACCCACTTATGTACACGTTTTCCGATGGAGGTTGCGTGGAGCGCACTGTCTCTGTGTCTATTCGTAACGTGGCAAGCACTACTTCTGCACTTATTTCTCGTGCGCATACATCTGCTGTTCCAAAGCGTCCTTTCTCTGTTGGGGTGTTAGCAGAGTCCGCTTTTGACCCGTTACCGTTTGATGTTCCTGGTACTTCCGTACTACGAACAATTGGCGCAGTAATACCTGCCTTTGGCTAAACACAGCTTTAAAAAGTGGTATCATAAATTGGCTCGGTGGAGGCAAAGGCAGGTCAAATTCCACCTCTCAGGTTCTGTCAAAGGTTACGTGGCGCATAAGAAGCAGCGGAATATTTGCATCAAAATGAAGGTAGTGTACTGCTGCTTTGCTGCCCTGTGAGACAGTAAATGTCTGACTGCCCAGTCACGCGCTCAGCCAACCGAAAAAATACACAAAGCCCGAATTCGAAAGACATAGGGAGTATATCTAGAAGATAGATCAACTCTGTTTATTGGTAAACGAAACATGCTAATTTCGGAGGTCAAGATCACTCGATCTTCTGCATCTGGTTTTCAACCAGTGTAAGTGAATTCCGCACCACGGGTTTACCATATTGACGGAATAGTTCGACTGCTTTGACGAGGGCCTGTATTTGCTGGCCGGCCAATTCGCACTCGATTCCCAAATTCGGCGGAAAGTTAGGGTCGTACCACGCCCGTGCTGATGACGTTTGCATGTAGAAGACAGCCTACGTGCTCCACTTACGTCCTTCTAGGACAGCAAGCGCCAACATTTGCAACCGAAGCAAAGACCGTCCCAAACAGGATCTTTGCTTAAGTGAAGCGTCGCCCAAAGCCTGTAGGTGAATCATCAGTGCTAGAGAGCGAAGACGGGCGGCCGCTAAACTGCAGTACTGACGTGCGTCAGCATTAGTGACGCACCTCTTTTCCGTACCCGCAAATAACAAAGTGCATGTGTGCGTTGGAGAAACTTGAAGTGTGCAGCTCGGGCCGAACTCGACAGTCTGGATTGCGGTGTGGAGGAGGTGCACCAACTGCTCGCTAAGATTGATGGCACCAAGCCTGTTAGGCTCGACGGGTATTGCTCGTTGATTTTAAAGTCGTTATCCGACACTGCTAGGAGTGTACGGTTTCTCGAGCGCAAACCAGCGGAGCAAATGAACCGTGTTCACTCAACCAGCTGCCGCAAAAACTCGAACGAGCTAAGTGCAAGATCAACCCCGCTGATACGTAACGCACCGGAAAATTATCCATCAACAGACCAGTGTTGATTTGAATCCGGACTCAGGATCGAACGCGCATTGGGGCTACTGCAGGCTGTGCAGTGTGGATTCACTCACCCGCGTTGGTTCACGTTCTGTTGTCACAATAAACTCCGTTTTTTGGAGTACTCGCACTGCTCGTTCTTCATTCCTGGGGATTGGCCTACGGTCTACTCTAGCAGTGTCCGACACAACAGACACCAACTCGCCTTCTGTGACTGGTCTGTCCAACAGGTCGCTGTTCGAAGGTCCATTGTCAGGTGTTTGGAAATACCCATTGGTAAGATAGATTCTAGGGCGGTGACCCCATGTATGTAGACAACTATCGGCCAATTTGTCGGATACCCATGTCGGTAAACGTAGCGAAGAAGAACAGGAAGGGGTGCACGCCACAGCTGTTCCAGTAAGAGGATTTTCTGGTGCCTGCAAAGCACGGTCTCATGTTAGAACGCTCATGCGTACCAACCTGCTCGTGATGAAGCATGAATGGTCGCCGGCAATACACAAGAGGAAGTCTCCTATCGTGATCTACACAGATCTGGGCAAAGAGCTCGGCAAGATAAGCCAACAGGTCCCCTCCATGGGTTGAGTATCCGGTATTGGTGGCCCAATGCACTGGTGCATCAGCGAACTTGTTGGAACGAAAGTCGACGGACATCTAACTGACTGATATTCTTCGGCTATTGGCGTACCTAAGAGATAGTGGTGGGACCTACTGTTACTCGTCTATATAAACAAGTAAACTGCATTTCCGCGGTCTCCACGTACGCTGAAGATATGGAGAGTGATTAACACGCCCGGCGACTACGGCCTAGTTCAGCAAAACATCAATCGCCTCTGCATGTGGTCAGTAGAAGTTCGCCTCCCGATCAACTCAGTTAAGTCGGTATTCATGAAAATGTAGAAGGGTAGTGGCGCCTGAACTTGCATCATCGACGCCCAACCGCGATAACATCTCACACCTTCTGTGAGGAACCTAGGCGCACCATACCGCTGCAAATTGAAATCTGTAGACAACACAAACTGGCTATATGGAAGCGGACTGTGAATGTTTGGGACGTTTAAACGAAGCTTCTGAGTCTATTCAGTAAAGGCGGTCAATCACCTTTTCTCTTCCATCGTACGACCAATGCTAGAGTACGATCGGCCCACTTACTGTCCGATCACGTCGGGTCCAACACATCACCATCGGGCTGAGTCCCAGTTTATGAAGTTTACCGTAAGAAGATTGGAGAGATAGACTGCACCTTGTCCTATCCTCGGGTTCGAGACGAGCTCACCAGAACCTACAGTGATTTACATCTCGGTGAAACCCATGACAAAGCCGTTGCCTCATTTGAGAACATCGTACAGCAAACGCGGAGAGCGGCACAAGCCTGTGCTGTCGGATCTAAAGCGGATTACTCAACCGGTGTGTTTCAAACGGGAAGTAGTACATGTTTTGAATAGTTCGCCATAACACGAGTTGGAGACCAAACTTGTGCTGCAAATCAGAGCAGTGTTGGATTAATATTTCCTCACCAGTAGAATCAGACAACGATTACCCACTGACAATGACACCACATAATGGTGAGCTCTATGGTACTATGAGATGGATATTTAAAAAGAAATAAGGAACGATTAGAGTAATAACGAAAGACATACCAATTTAACGTTCTTGATAAAATTTGAATGGAGTTAAGCAGCAGTTGGTACTAAGTTGCTTGACGAAGAAAGACTAGATCGCGCCATTCTACTCACTTTATCGCATGTAGCATAATTTTCATCGGGAACAACCAGAAGCTGGATGTATGGAGTTGGACTGGATGCAGCATTTCAGTTTGTTGAACATCCTGGCTAGACTAATTCGATCAAGTTTTCAGATGTAAACGCAACAAGTGGTCATACTAATAGAAGAGAAGAGCAAGTAAGGGAAAAACGCAGTCGTTTTTTTCGTGTATCTTATCAAGTGCACGAAAATGTCTGACATCACTTTAGTAACATGAGCTAAACTCTTAGCGCTTAATGTGCCAGTTTCTAAGGTTGATCGGGAGCCGTGTTGCTCAGAGTGCGTAAAATTCATGAGTGTAGCAAATCACCCAGTCTAAGCAGTGCAAGCTATAGTCGTCAAAGTGGCAATGGCGAAACAGGTGTGCTGTTTTTACCAGATTTAAGATGTGGGAAAAATGCGAAGTGCCCGCTCACTGTAAACTGAAGAGGGTCTCCATTTCCTCACTGAATGTGAAATTGCGAATGTCTCAGGGGGATGAAAACCTACGTGTCATTACGTACAATACCAAATCCTGTGTTTGTGCAGCCTAGTATAACCTCCTTTTAACTATCTACTCCCGAGCCCCACAAACTAGAAAATCATGATACAAATATCCGTAAATTTTACATATTAGGTGCTCGGGTCTAGAACCAGAGGAAAAAAAAGAATAATACGAAATTCTATTACTAACCTTTTCTGTACTATTATAATTTACGCCGCATAAACCACGAAACATATTCACTATACAAATGATCGCTCCTGCTTATGGGGCCGTGTACCGTTTGTCGATAAATATGCAAATTTAGTTATTTAATTTAGCAGCTGGAAATAAGATCAGTAACAACTAAACTGGGTGCTGTTTGTCTGCACCCCTTTCAGACTAAAGGTAACGCATGCGCTTGGCGCGAAATCGCACACGAAGTGACTCATAGTTGTCCCTGAGGCGCTTGCTATCAATTACTATCAGGATCGCTAGTCCAATCAATAATCTGGTACTGACCTATCTGTAAAACAAAGTAGATAACGACGCGGTAAAGCGAAAGCTAAAATGGCTGCCTACAAACTATAAGCGCCGTGCTACTGAACCTTTGCTTCAGATGTTAACTGTTGCACTAGATCCATCTTTACCACTCTTGTCAGGTTGCACTGTCATAGTTTTCCCGATAGCAATCAGCGAAAAGTCAGTAGGAAATACTGCTGTTGTTGAGTGAAATGTTGTTAAAGCATTATCACCGAGATAGCAGGCAACAAATTGTGACCAAGAGAGGAAGTCACCAATCAGCAGCACAAAAAGGAAAAAAATTGGGGGAGAACAACCGAAGCAAGATTTACGGTCAACGTAGTGGCAGTCGCGGATCGCAAATTGCTTCACTATCAATTGGGAGCACAATAAACCGAACGACTTGGTTAGCTGGACGTTTTTATATATGGAATGCACATAGGAAACACTTGCAGTTGCGCAATAGAGAGTGGAAAATAGCCGCTAGCACATGTAGGAGAATGTACAGGTTAAAATGAACGAAAAAATGTGGGAGAAAAATCGAGATTACATGAAGTGAAAATGGGGGAAATGAAAGTCGAAAAGAATAATAAATGATCAAGAACACTAACCAGAGCACTTACTGTATGGCCTCTAGTCGTTTTCCTTGACGAACCAACAGATAGAATTCAAACACGCGCAGGTCAAACTCGAAATGGCTCTGAAAAAAGAAAACAGGACGACCGGCATAAAAGGTGCAGCCTGACGTTGGGAGGAAACAAACTAGTTTTAATAGGCAGAGCGAGGGACAACTGACACATAGTTGTCCTTAGCCGAAGCAACCACGTCACTCATTGCAATCGATCCTAAAAACGAGTAAAAGAGTTAACTAAAAACGCTGTTTGTGCATCAGGTGTATAAAGAGGCCAGCTTCAAGGATGCGGAACCCGAGTTCAATCGCAAAATAAACGATGGAGATACACTAATACCTATACAATCTGAAAATATAGGTCGCCGCTGCCAGCTGGGTAAGCACAAATCCTGGTATTTGACCAGAAAATGAAGGTTGCCACATTTGTTACTGCATTCGCCTGCCCCTGAAGATGCGAGCGGCCACAAGACGCCCGCGCCCCACAGACAATATCCAGTGTAACTTCGAAGAAATAATGGTAGCAAACATGTGGGAACCGCGATTAATTCGGAGCTGGCCCACTTCCAGAATGTACATTCCGCACGCCAATAGAGCGCGATATGTTTACCAGGCGTATACAGAGTCGAAGCCTGTCCACTCCATACATGTCACTTCAGCGGACCAATTCCGTGTAAGGAACTCTGTCACACCATCGGATACTCAGAATCTGACGCCGGCATTGCTGGTGAAATTGTTCCACATAGACGATGCCATTCATGTAGAGCCGCCGTAAAGAAAAAGCGATTTGTATACCGTTAGCTTGGTTGCAAAAGTCAGCCACAGATTCCTCAACAAACGATGTTCCAGCTTGCCAAATAAAGTACTAGCCTTCGATACACAGATGATTAGTTCGCTGGCCCTCTGCAGGTCCGTTAACAGCACGCTCCCGAGGTAGCAAAGTTTTGATGATATCTCCGAAACTTCACCGGCAATCCTGATTTGCGGGCAGCCCATGGATTTAATTCCTCGTGACAGCTGAAAGACACAGATCTGCTTGCGTTTATGGTGATTCCGAACTTCGTCGCCACCGAAGCGAGAGGCTTCGTCGTACGTTGCAAATTATCCTTGCTGTGTGCACACAACGCGCAGTTGTCGGCAAATGACTTCCAGATGGTTGATTCAAGCACTCTGGTTCTCACAACGGAACAATGGATGTTCAACAACCCACTCATCGATAAGATGCTCGAGACGCACACCGTAATAACAGGCACTGAAAGCACGAAATGATATGGCAGTCAGATTGAGAGTAGGCAGGGTGAGAACTTAGACACAGACTCGCTTCACACTAGTGACAACACTAAAATCATCCAAAGTTTGTCCATATGGCTGCAATTTCGCCCGCATACCACTGTGCAAATACTCAGTAAGTTACAAACTCTTGTAAATTATAAACGTAACAAACCCCAGTCAAAGTGCCCCGCGGTTCACCGTGTCAAACGCCTTCCTAAAGTCTACAAACACCGATTCCAAAGGCCAGTTTCGTTCACAGCACTTGATGGTCAACAAACTCCAAATATATCGTGCTGCGGCCCAAATGGATTAAACATTGCTCTTCCGCCAAGTACGTGCAACGACCTGAGTGACGAGGCGGTTGAGCAGGATTCAAACAGTCACCATTTCAGCATAACTTTGCAAGTTGACGCCAGGATAATTGTTTGCACGCTGCCTGCCTCCTTTTCCCTGGTAAAGTGGTAGCACAAGGGCATCCTCGAACTTAGCTGGCACCTGTTCTTCAGACCATAAGCGTTCCACGAAGTGGCGCAGCGCATGTAGAATTGCGGGGCTGCCGTTTTTCAGCACGTCAGGCAGCATCCAATCGGTTCCGGTGCACTTGCTGCTTCGCAAATGAACAACTGCCCGCTGAGTTTCAAACTGCCTCTAGGTATCTGCAAGACCCTACAACTTATATTGTTGCACCCCGTGCAAGCAATTTCTAAAACGGTTGTTCAAATGACAATCGAATTGTTTTCGCCATATTCGTATGATATCCAAAGCCTATGCGCAGGTAGCACTTGACGCGGCGTCCACAAGCGTCCTCATCAACTGCAAGTTGGGCCAACACACTGCCTTCAAGGAGTCATTCGGCGTAGCACTCCATTCCTTTTGCCTTCTATGCCAACCCTTCGCTCTTGGGGCGACGGAGCTCCTAAGCCAAACGTCTGTGTAACTTCAGACATTTACTCTCTTTAAACGACTAGTCAGAATTATCTTCAAGTGCAACAAAAGTGGAATTCTCCTTTGACACCAATGTGCCAATTGTAGCAATGTTGACACAAAACTAATTGGGCGACTAATTGTTTGCGAACTCGATCGTTTCCTCGGTTGTAATGGTCACCTGGTGTTTGATGTGGTGCTACAGGTCGCGGACTGAAGCGATCCAGTCCACATCGCCAAGGCGAGTACCCATTGCATTCTCCAGCTCGATCTTCTACTGAAAAGGGCTTAGGAAATGAACATTAAATTTCCGCCTATTCACGGTTGGCGAAAAATACATGGTTACGAAAACATATGTAAAACTTGGTGTGCACCAATTTGTAATTAGTACTACACTCCGCTCAAGGCATGCGCACTTCCCGCTAGGGTGCGATAATAGTCGAGCAGGTGAACATGAGCGTTCTGTGGATGCGTCCAAGTGGCAATATCAGTTGAATTCAGTGGAAACCGTGTGTTTGTGATCGTCGAATCGTGAGTGGCACACGTTGAGAGCAGGCAGTCACCATTCCCAATGGCTACACCAATATCATGTGACCCGATTAGCTCAGTCCATAAAACGGCATCACGACCAATGTGCACAATGAAACAGCCCTGTAAGAATATACCAGTCGCTCCTCGGCACAGACTGTATCATGGAGGACCACGAAACGCATCAGTGATCCTCTTTGTCATCAGAATAGCACAGTAGAACCACATGTGCTAATAAAAATTGCAAATATACTCCGTCCGGAGCGCAGGTGAAGTGTCATTTATCTTGGTTTGATGCCAGTCGGCTCTTCCATCAGGTAGTCATTTAGTCAGTCAGATAGTGCAAATCCGACCTCACATTTATGTGATGTTGCGGTGGTCTTTCCCACCCAGTAGAAGGAATGTTCAGCTACAGGCGAAACCGCAAACGGTTACCGTCAACTATATATGCTGATCGGCGGGAGCGTATCAGTGGACAGTAGCGCCGACGATGTGAGTGTATAGGGACCCGCTAATTGGCAATGGCAGAGATGCGCAATGCGCCATTATTACCGAGATTCTACAATTAAGCTAATGTGCCGCAATACAATTCGAGTGAATTGAGACAAAAAGGATGAAACAACAAGAAAACAAACCACAATAATACCATAGTTTGATTGCAAGGCTACGTTGAAGCACCTACAATCTCAATGTGAACTGCGATTCGCATTGAAGTCAACCTTGGTCAATTCTAGCACTAGGATCGTAAGTAAAAAAGATGGACATTATATGTTGGCAGTTCGAAAACAATGGGCTCCACAACCGATCCCTGACTTGTTTGGTCTCATCAGGTAGAGATAGCAGGTACTCGAATTTTGATGTCAGCCGATACCTCCGTCCTTAAGGCACCAAGTCGCAGCGGGCAACATTTGCGACGACAGTTAATGGCTGGTTCGAGGGGACATTTTGAAGCACTTGTTGTGTGCAGATGGAAATTGGGTGTTGCCCGCCCGAAAACACCGCATACCACGCGCGTACCGAACTGAGTTGATCTCATCAGGTGTGCAGTGTTTTCAGGCGGGCAACACCCAATTTCCAACTGCTTCGGTTACGGTCTCAGTGAGCGCAGTGACCAAGGTTCACTTCAATGTGAATCGCAGTCTACATTGAGAATGCGCCTCGCAATTTAATCACACAACGTGTACTTCGAAATGGCACTCCAAGTACTTCTTGAGCTTAAAAATGACCCCTCCAATCAATCATTAACCGCCGTGACAAGCGTTGCCCACAGCGACTCGGTAGTTTGGGAATATTATTATGTTTTTACAATGCATCGAAGATAAGTAGTCGTAATCGGATGGGAGGCTAATCAGGATCGTAAAGGATAAAGAAGCTCACGAAAAGTCAATGAGATCGGCTCGCGATCATGTCGATAATTGTAGCCATTTAAACGGGTGGCGTAAGCGATCACTGGGCGAAGTTGAACGTAAATGGTCGTAAGCTCATCGGACATCATAAGCAGCAGGTGTGCGTGCAAAATCTGATTGCTAGCCAGGCAAGGGAACTTCATGCAATGGCTAGCAGGACGGCCAGTCCGGTGGTTGGAAATCCTTTAGGATAAGCAGTGCAACACTATCCACGTGGAGTCAGCTGAGTGGTTCGGCATCATCCTGTTCCGGCCAATGGTTCGGTGGCAATGTTCCAGGAGGTGGTGGGTTTCTGACCGGCAAGCGTCCTCACTTTGAAAAGCCACATAGGTCTGCTTAACAACACTGCGACGTGGTGGATGACTCGCCATTAAATAAAGTCGCCGTACCTTGCTTCACTCCAGTAAAGCGTTGTTTTCCAGTAACATGTTGCTGAAATCGTGAGGAGGACTGAGCCCATGTTGTGGTAACCGACCAAATGAAAGGCCTATGAACTGAGAGTTTAGTCACTGGCTACAAATGAGAGCGATTCTATGAATTCGCCCCGCTGCCTTGCGGACGGGCTATTAAGCCAAATGATCGGAGTGGGGTCCCCTAAGCCAACTACCAAATTCGGCTTGGACAACCCAGCAGTATCCCACCCTCTCACAAAAACCACGGACGGTTCTGAAATGGGCTCAACTGCTACCATTTCTGCGTCTTACATTCACGCGACTTCATCACATGCCGATTGTTTGTTTGCTAACAATTCTTGTAATCCGTACCTGATTCCTGATCATGGATCTGTTGCGATTCCGGTTGCACCGCGAGACATGGAGTTCAACCGGTGGATCTACTTCGACCCCGATACTCGTTTCGTCTAGCGTGCTTCAACGTACGAACACTCATTCAGGTTGCATAGCAAGCCGGTCTTGTGAGCACTCCAAAGTCCCTCGATTTCGA